TCTCTTAACTTGCCGGTGGAAGAGGAACCGGACCGCTGCTCCCCTGAATAGATTCGACCCAGGGCCTAATGGCCCTGTTCTTACCAAAAGATGTTAGTTGCTCATCTGCTGTCAGTCTGGTACCATAATTCTGCCTTCTTATGATGAAAACGCATTACAAATGGTCAAATGACTTGGGGATGTTGTTTGTTTGTTTGTCTGTGCGAGTGGTGCCACCTTCCAGGGAAGCAGCACGCTTCAGAGTGCAGCTCATTGGCTTGCGCAGATAAGTGCAGCAGAGAATGAGGAGCGACATGAGGTTGTCGTTCGGCTTTTTGAGCTAGCTATTGAATGTGGTGCACAGGTACATTTACCACCCCTCACCCCTGCCTAATGACATGTCACATCCTATTTGTAGACAGGGGCTGGAAAGGCAATGCCTGTACGATTGCAGTTGGCATGCCTGTGTGTGTTCCTAGCATGTGGGAGCCGTGTAGTCTGTAACATCTGTCCACGCTGTGCCGTTTGATGCAGCAACCGCAACTGCGACAATTGGATGCGTTGCTTTCCGCAGTACACAGCCGAACCGGCCCTCTCCGGTCTGTAGCGGTGGCCACTTACCATAGGCAATGCCTGCTCCTCAACTCGATTTTCTCTGCAAGCCACGCTGTTATGATCCTGGTTGTCTGTTGTCTGAAGACCAACACTCACTCACACAGACTTCTAGATATGCCCATACATACACAGAAGGAAGGGGAGAGGATAGGAGTATCACACCGCACAGGGAGAGATAAACACAGAGGAAGACTTGTCCATGCGATATGACAGGCTACACTGAAAGTGCAATTCCCTCCACTCAATCCTCGCAACCAGTCATAAAGGGAAGCCGAGTAGATCACATCCAAGAAACAATGAAACAATGATAGTCCAAACCCAGTATACACACTGTTTATTAAACTCGATCGGAGTCTCGCTAGAAATCAAACCCAGTATACACACTGTATATAAATCCTTCACCTTATGGCGAACGGTATATTTAATAAACACTGTGTATACAAGGCTTTGCTAGTAGATAGGAGTCTCGAACTGTCAGAATAACCCCAGAACCATGGTACGCTGCTCAGAAATGAGCAGCACTTCACTCCCCAACCCTGAGTAACCGCTAGATCTACCCCTGAGTCCTTGAAACATCAAGCGCCACCCAGATACTGCCTCCTAAGGACAGCGCCACCCTGAAACAGGCCTCTGAGGCCAAGCGCCTCTCAGAGGAAGAGAGAAGAAGGCCAGCACCACAGTGTCTGATGATGATGAAGTGCCGAATGACTTCGCGGGTGGAAGTCTGCAGCAGCTCCACCTGTCCTGACAAGATGATCTCTGTGGAAGAAGCTGCAGCTATGGCTGCAGCGCCACACACCCTGTAACCCTACTCCTGAGGAGGGTCCAGTAGGGCACCAACTTCTCTCGCCTCCAGCAGACTTCAGATAGCTCAGACCTCTGATCAGCCCCAGCGTGCTGTCGGAATAGTGTCAGTCCCAGCTATGGCTAACACTCCGCAGGTCCAGCTATGGCCGTCTTCTCCAACGCTGAAGCTGTCACCACCTCCCAGTTCACGCGTTGCACAGCAGCGACATACTCAGTACCAACTGCCAAAAGCCCTGAACCGATGTCTACAATCTATCTATACTCTAATCTAGCCTAGACACGACCTAGACCGGACTGGTAGGACGGACCGGTATCGTTTCAGTTTCGGCCTCTTGGGCCTGCCAAAAGCCATGAACCGATAGGCTATAGGACCGTCTATCAGCTTAGGCCCATAGGGCCTGTCTGTCCTAGAGGTAGTCCGGGCCTGCTATTCGCAGTTAGGGTAGCTGTAGGAAATTTTAGTTAGTACGGGCCTATATTTTCCCGAATTTACAGATGTGTCCCTCTTGAATTTCCTTACAGGCGGGTCTCTCGGTTAGCCCTCAGCCAAACAAAATTACGAATCTGACCTACTATGGTACAGCCTCGACTCAACGGGCTACACAGTGAAAGAGGAGCTCCAAGAAGACATAAAAGAGGGAAAAAAGCTGAAGTAAGGAAAGCGAAGAAAGGACTGCACTACCAACTTGCGTAGCCCCAACCTGAAATCAACGGAACCAACAAAGAGCTTGAAGTAGTTTCCGCAACCTGAAATCAACGGAACCAACAAAGAGCACAGCAGAAAGACTCTAGATACGACAAATCTTTAATGAACTTGATGAAAATTACTTATTCGTACTTGGTTTTTGAGTGCTTGCTCCGAACCAGTGAAAATTGTATTGAACTGTTGAAATACAGACCTCCTGAGTTCGAACTCCACAATTCTGAATTACCTAGGGCGGGTCAGTTCAATGAGATCATATCTTAAGGCTATCGCCCTTTTATATAAACAAGAAAAGAAAAGAAAAGGACTGCAAAAGGAAAAGGCAATGTAATGGTTTTACAGTGCTTCATGTAGTTTGCTATAGAGGTAAAGCTGTTTCAGCTTCCGATCTACTCATATGTGTGGAAAAGAGATCGTTGTGGTGACAGTTTACGACACATGACGTGACAGACAGACAGCACACTCAAGCAAAAACAGAAGCACATGCTTATACACACACAAAGGCACTTGTGCGTGCGCACCGAGTACACATGGCCTGACTCTTGCAAGAATGGGCTTAGAATGACTCTTGCAAGAATGGGCTTAGAAGCATTGCATGTCATTGGTTGATATCGAACAGATTAGGTGTAGAGGCCTGCCTGACTGTTGCAAGAATGGGCTTAGAAGCGTTGCATGTCAAACATAATGAAAAAACATGGCTGTCCCATTGTAAAAGGTACAGAAGGTACTGATGTGCTGGGTTGCTTTGATGGGTTGGTTGGCACTGCTGATGTTGGCAGCCAGCGGAAAAGATTTTTGATGCGCTGCAGGCATGCCGGGAGCGCTACAGTCAGAAGAGGGAGGCAAAGGCTTCTAACCTTCGCTTGTCTAGGAAGACGGGGAAAACAAATGGCGTTGAATCTAGAAGAGTCAGGGGTGGCAACGAGAGGCTGTCTGCCTCACGACAATCAGAGGGTACATCATCTGCTGCAGTGGCGGAAATTGTGGGGCCAGACAGGAAATGTTCAGGACGTGAGACAGCTAGCTCCTTGATGCAGGCGCAGGGAGGACATGATGATGCGTCAGATATGGATGCTCGGTATAGGAAGAAGCAACAACAAGACAGGCTTCTTGGCTGTGCCTCATCCTGCGATTCTATTGGCAATTCAATGAGGATTCATGATCGTGACACCGGGCGCAACGGTGGTCCCGCTGCTCTGGGAGCCGAAGTGGCAACAGGTAAGGGTGCATATGGTGAGAGAGATGCGAGGATTGGGAGAAAAGCAGGTGGCAAGTCTGTCAGAGAGAATGATAGAGATGATTCTGTCAGAGTGAGTCTGACTGAACTTCGTCAATCCATTCATAGTGTCTTTGGAACCAGCAAGAAAGAAGGCAACCAGAGGAAGGAGGACAAAGAAGATACCGAAATCGGTCCTGAGGAGGAGATGTGTCGGCGTGAATCATCGTTATCTTCATCGCGGTCATCATCATCTTCGTCATCTTCGTCAGACCAGGAAACCAGCAGCGAAGGGACTGAATGTGGGATGACAAGGCAGAGTCGTGAATGCAGGAACACGGGACAAGACGAAGACAACACATCACATTCTGCTGACAGCATGAGTGGCGTAAGCAGCGACAACAGCAGCAGCAATGCGAATGATGCTGCGCCTTCCCCGTCTATTAGGTCTGTCGATCTACGGTCTGGGACTGATGACGAAAGCTCTTTAGCAGACATTCGTGCAGCCATGAAGAGCGGTCCAGGGTTGATTGTCGTTGTGGATGAAAAGCGTAACGGTAAATTAAGCATAACAGCGAAAGAGTTTCCAGCCAGGCAAGGCAGTGCAGCTGTCACTATTTCTGCAGGAAAGCCAAGTTTAAAGGCTGATATCAGTACCCATGTCAGCTGCACACGCGGTGCAACCAGAACTAATGTTGGCCTCAGTGCCAAAGTGGCCGCATCTCGTGATTCACAGTCTAAGAAGGGTGAAAATGGAGATGTTAAGGGGGCAATGGCTCCTGTCCGGCTAGTTTCACTTAGATCGGAATTGTCTGAGGACCACCCACCTCCCTCGTCGGACCTTCAGGCAGAGAAGCGGAGTCGTCAGGAGGAGGGGGCAATTGAGGCTGGTGACAAGATAATGCCTGATGCCGCCAAGAAGAATGAAGAGGAAAGCTCACTAGGGCAGTCCTCCATGTCACGGTCTGTGATAAGCTTATCAAGACAGACTCGACGACTTCCGGAGTTGCCCTCGGAGCAGATTGACAGCTCAGTAGCCAGGCAGCATCAGTCTGTTGTTAACAGTCACGGGGAGGGCGACGTTGAGCCGAAGGCAGAAGCGTCTGCTGCTGCTGCTGAGGCTAAGACTGCAGTGAGGGAGGAGCTTGCTAGGGATGCCAAACTTGCTGCATCTATTGAAGCTACAACTGCTACTGCTGCAACGGATGCCGCAGCTGCCACTGCCACTAGTCCTTCTATTGCCGCCACCGGTACTATTGCAGGTGTTGAACAGTCCGAGGTGTCCTTGGCCTCCAAGCAAGGCAGTGCTGAGACGCCGGCTCTGCCTGGCCCTCCGGCGGGTGATGTACTGCTTCCAATGGCAGCACTACCAGCAGCACTGGTGTCATCTGCTGCACCCACGTACTGCTCGATGAAGGAAAAAATGTCATCTGGCCGCAGGTTAGGACATGCCAGAAGCTTGAGCCTCATTGGTGGAGTCTTGGATCAAGTGTCTACAATACGGTTCCCATCCCCTGTGCATGAAGCGGAGTCAGATGATTTGCAACCCCAACGTGCTGCTGCGTCCTTATCATCCTGTGACTCCGATCGGGGCTCGGCAAGAGGAAGTCGTGGACTTGTAAACGGCATCTCTGCCACTTTGCCATCTATTCTGCATCACCGCCATCATCATACTCGAAGTTGGAGCTCTGTGGGAGCGCAGAAGACAGCTTCCAGTGGGGTTGCCAGTGCTGGATCTCCATGGATGCCTCGCGCCATGTCCTCTGTCGGTCTTCTGAGGACTTCAAATGGCGAGAACATTGTGGCCATCCCTCCAGAAGCCATCGCCATGAGGTCGCCGCCCCGGGGAAAGTGGGCTGCCCTGGGGGCCAACCTCTTGTCGTCGTCCAGGGATTGGCAGACCGATGCTTCCCGGCCTGATTCTGGAACACAAGGTTCTGGTGGTAGCAATTTTCAGGGTGCAGAAGTGCAGGATGAGGATGTCCTTCGAGTGATGCAGGATCCCCAGGGTGCTGCTCGGAGAGAAGCCGATGGTGTCAGCCATCAGAGGATGGACGATGTGGAAGACTTGTCCAGTGCGTTGGAGGGAAGCAATGATGCTGCTGTTCATTGGGAAGAATCCGCTGTGGCCGTGAACGAGACTATCCGTCCTTCTCCAGAGCCCACAAACAGAAGTGTGGGTGGTTACAGTTCAATGACGGATATTCTGAGGTCGGAGAAGCAACGCCAACGACATTTCTGTGGTGGTATGTCTTCCGCGACTGACAGCTCGAGGGCAAACACGGCACGCAACCAGAAGGGTACGTCTGTGTTGGACCGCGTTAGAGATGTCGATAGAAAGGATGATCGGGAATTCGATAGCTCTGCGTCGTTTTCTGAGGGAGCAGAGAGCAGGCAAGCTATCGAAAAGAAGTATAGCATGCCAGTGGCTTCCAGTATCAGCATGAGGCGCAGGCATGCACGATCGCAGTCGATGCTCGAGGAGTCTGCCGACATACAATATAGCAGGATTTTCCCGTCGATGCAGAAGGCCATCGCAGGTGACCAGTCTAACGGGGACCCTTGCTCCAACTCTTGGGTTAATGAAGAAGAGGCTCCCACAGGACACAGAAGATCACAATCCACCCTCGAGGGGCCGACAGGAATGCTGTCCATAAAAAAACATCTTCCGCCAAAGAAGGTATACAGAGTAGATGATGTCACCAGCGGAACATCCGACTCCTCTATCCCTTGGGCGTATCAAGAAAGAGATGGTCCCACTGAGGACGCTGCCAGTTTCTCATGTAAGAAATCATCCAGTGATATCCCCGTCACTCGTGCCTATGAAAGTGCTGCTCCTCGGCGGGATAACAATGATTTCCAACGATGCACGTCATCCTCAAGGTCAACAACAACTCAGTCGGGGGCTGTGTTTAGATTGAAACCCTATACTTCTAGTACATCTTTTGACTCTGTTCGGGGAGCATTGGAGGGTGATATTGGAGATGAGGGAAACCTGGGTCAATCAGGCATTGAGGAAGAAGGGGAGGGCGATTGTGAGGTCGGTAGATCAGGTTGCTTGGTGGCAGATGGTGATGAACAGTACCAGCTTGCTGTGGCCATAACATCTTGTGGATCGAAGTGCCCCTACTTCCCAAAAGGAGTAACAATTGATGAGGACGAAGAACTGCAAGATATGGATAGCTCAGGGAGGACGTTGTTGCTGTCTCCTCCCCCATCATCTGCCGCAGCAAGGGCTGCACTCAACGCGGACAACAGTGGTGCGAAGAGTGTGCGCAGCAGTAGGGTGAGAAATTTGCGGACAAACATCTACGCGTTGCGTGGTATGAGAACTCGGTCAGAAGAAGGAGCTGGTGTCGCAGCGACGGGGGTTGCTCCTCAGCCCAGAAGATACAGATTCGTTCAGGAGGAGAGGACCAGCGAGGTGAACGCAGAGCAGAGGGAGAGAGGTGAGGCGGGGAGAACTTCAGGGGGTGAAGAGGACGACACACGTTTATCATCCTCTGTGGTCGACATGGGCTTTAGTGGTGACACTGGGGAAGGCAAGAGAGCGGGGCTCACCGACTCCGTCATTGAATGTTTCAATAGACAAGCAACTTCGTCACAGCCACCATCCCCATCTATCAGGTTCAGAGCAATTTGTGATGAGGTTGACGAGCCATCAGATTCAGTGCAGAATGATGACATGGGCGAAGTCGTTCCGTTGGAGATAGGTGGCGGTGCTGCGTCTGCTCCCAAGGAGCAGCTGACCTGTCCTCGCGAAGAGGCGATAACGCCTCAGGACTCTTTTGAGGGGGATTTCAGAGATGCTGTTGACAGCCGAGTTGGTGCCGCCGCTGTGTCGGAGGAAAGTGTTGCAGAGGTTCCGGAGGCGCTGGGTGAAGGGGATGATAAAGATGGCTCTCGAATACAAGCTGCGTCGACCTCGAAACCAGGAGCTGTCTCCAAAGCCAGCTGCCTGTTTCGACCCCGATGCGAAGGCAAAAATCTCCCTCCTAGGGAGCAGATAGAACAGGTGGGAGCAGAACGTTATTGTTTACGGGGTAATGGTGCAAGTCGAACGATGCAGTCGCTAAATCAGAATGTGGGGGTAAACAGGAAGGGCCTCGTAGCAGCACAAGATGTGAAGGTGTTTGAGCCGTCTGCCTGCTCGGTTAGGAGTGGTAGTGCATCCTCACGTCTTGGTCGAGCAGAATCGGGGAGCTCATCTGGGAGCTCGTCGGTCACGTCCGATGGTCACCAAATGGCCGTGGAGCCATCCAGGGACAGAATGAGATCAGGAGGTGGAAGGTCATTTGACAGTTTGCATGCTCTGACTCCTGTGCGCGAGGAGGAAGAGGAAGCAATGGGGATCGCGGAGAGAACGCCGAGCGAGGAGATGAACAGAAAGAACCTGGAATGGGCTGCTGCTCTGTCGCTTGCCCGAAGCCATAGTCTGGGATCTCAGCTGCGGCTTGGTGTGGGCACATCATCATGTGGTAATGGAGGAGGGAGAAGCGGGTGTGCCTTGGGAGGGGCACTGAATCTCTTCCCCGCTGCAATTGTTGATGGGGGAGGATGCGCCTCTCCACCAATCCAGTTCTCCCAAGAGATTGGTGGATTGGTCCTGCCACGATCAGCGCCCTTGGCGCAAGGCCAAAGAGATGCCGATGACGAGACTGGCAACCTTAGTGACGACAACAGTGGCAGGCGAGGCGGGAGGAAGGACAGAAGAAGGCGACGAGAGGGTAACGACTGCAGGATTACGAGAAGCAGGCAAGGAGGGACCAGCAAACTTGCCCGCCTTTTCTGCTTTTTCTGAGACGGAAAGCGAAAGAATGGTGGGCCAGGCATATGACGCTCCAAGTAGAGCAGGCTGTCGAGCATCGTGGAGCTTGACGATCAGAATGGTTGCAGGTGAGCGGAACAGGGATGATGAACAGGTAAGGTGAGCTCTTGGGGTATTGTTTGTGATGGTATTGTCGAGTCGCACCTCAGGGCAGGAGGGCACTACTGTCTGTACGAATAGCGTGTGTGTGTGTTGATGAGTTAGGCCTTCACTTCACGGGAGATAATGTGTCAAACTGACATGCGTTGCGCATCTTTTTGTGAAAATCTAAATCCCTTATACAGCGAGCGGGGTGAAAGGAGACGACAATTGTAATGTAATGTAATGTGTTCATGGCAAAGCCGTTCATAAATGATGATGGTTGCAGATCCTTAGGTGCTTAAACCGCCACCAGCTATCGTACGCAGATCATGTCTAAGTAGGGAGCTATAAACAAGGATGCCAAGGGGCAGTCAGTTCTCCTGTGGCCAGGAGTAGTTGTNGGGCAGTCAGTTCTCCTGTGGCCAGGAGTAGTTGTCTAGGGTGGCCTCAGAAGTTGAAGTGGTGGCCACCAGCTATCGTACGCAGATCATGTCTATGTAGAGGAAGCCGCAATTTATGTTGCGGCTCCTGGTTCTTGCCGAGGGTCAGCAATTCCACCCTTCGGCACATAAGAAGTTTAGGGAAATGCATCCAGGCAGCGACTGCAAGGGAAGGTGTTCCCTCGGGAATAATAAAAACATGGAGTCATTTCTGAAAGGTCTCTTCTCCTCTTCCACGGTTGAGGATATTCCCTCTGGTGAAATCGTGACCTGATTGGAAGTCAATGTAGATGGTTACTATACACAATTGTCCTTTGTCTTTGTTGAATTCTTAGAGCGACGGTGATGGTATCGTCGTCACATGCTGACCTAGCTTAGCTTTTTTTAAGGATGTTGACAGCTCTCTTAGTGTGTATGGAGGATGGACTCCGTGATTGGGTGTGCATGCGATTGCCAGGATTGCTGGTATGGTCGAGAGCGCTTGCTGAAGCAAGCTTTGCAGTATTGAATCGGAAGAAGGAGAACTCTATCCTGTTCTTGCCTATGACATTCACTACCTAACTACCATCCATCTTCACCCGAATAGAACGCCCGGTCATTATGGCTGTACATGGTCCACCTGTCACTCCAAATACAGTGATAATGACCAGGCATTCTTTTTGGGCGAATACAGTAGTGACTGTAGTGGTAATTGGCAGCTGCAGGATGACATCTGTCTCAGCAAACTGGTGACGGCACGGGGCCGGGGGCGGACTTGGCGGATGGAACGGTGATTGATTTGTTGCTGGGTGGCTCACTGATTACGCTGGGTGGATGAGCGAGGTAGCTGACTGAGTAGGGCTGTTGACGGGCACTCGAGGTGGTGGGGTAAAGTGTGCTGCCTCCCTTAGCATATGTATCAAAGCGGAGGGTCCATGTCAAAAATCCACCCGGAGGAGGAAACTGCTGTATGGTTTGTTGCGACAGTTTCAGTGATAGGAAATCACTTTAGTGTGTGTGTGTGTGTGTGTATGTTTGAGAGAGAGAGAGAGAGAGAGAGAGAGAGAGAGAGAGAGAGAGAGAGAGAGAGAGAGAGAGAGAGAGAGAGAGAGAGAGAGAGAGAGGTGGTTTTCGTAAGGCAGGTTGCCGGGTGTGAAAAGAAGGCAAAGGCGAAGTCTTGATTTGCATGAATGGGAGTTTCGTTAGGGGGATTCACTTCAATGAAGCTGCACCTTCTTAGGTGAATCAGTGTGCTACGTGTTGAAGTACCCTATTCTTTGCAGCGGGTAATGGTGTCTTTCTGCATTAGGAGCGGCAGCAGGAGTGTAGCAGCACCTTATTAGCTGAATCAGTGTGTGCTACGTGTTGAAGTACCCTATTCTTTGCAGCGGGTTAAGGTGTCTTTCTGCATTAGGAGCGGCAACAGGAGTTTAGTCAATTGAAATGGCTGTTGCTCGCTGTTTTCTGGCGTAGTTTCTTAAACTTCTTTCAAAGCGCTTTAGGTGCTGGTTCTCTCACCGCCATGGCTTCACTGATTTCTTGAAAGTCGACCGGAGAGAACTGGATTTCAGACTGTGTCCAGCATCTCCGGGACTTTTGTACTGTTATAAGGCAGATAGCAACCCAACGTTGGTGGACTGCAACACGGTTCCGTGTCTGCCCGGTTTTGGTTTTTGTTGGTACATTGAGTTTTGTTTTCTTAGAAGGTTAAGGTTAACCAAAATTCATTTTCCCACTCGTCACAAGATTCATTGTGTGCGCATGCATGTTTATTGTGCCCTCTTCCACTCCTCTACACTCTAGACCAGCCTTTAACTTTATCTTTAACTTTATTGAAAGTTTCTTCTTCCCTCTTCCACTGCTTGTCGCTGTTTATTCCAAACCTCCAGTTGTTGTCTTCATCGTTACTTGCCCCTCTGCTCTGACTGCACTGAGTTTTTTTCGACCAGTCACATGATCGACTGTCTTTTCGGCAATTCCTTGTCCGCCCTACACCCTCCTCACCCAAATGCAATCATCTACTTGCCCTCTCTTCTGTCGTCTGTCTTGTCTGTCTTGTCTGTCTTGTCTTGTCTGTCTTGTCTGTCTTGTCTGTCTTGTCTGTCTTGTCTGTCTTGTCTGTCTTGTCTTGTCTGTCTTGTCTGTCTTGTCTGTCTTGTC